CTCTCAACTGGGTCAAACATGAGCCAAACATGAGCTCTGTGGCCTTGAGTTCAAAGGTTCCCAGGCTTATTATATGGGAGATTATAGACCCAACCAAGTCCAAGGACATTTGTCCCAGAATATAGGAGCTCAGGAGCCTCTGAGAGCTCTGAAAGGATTAGAATTCCAGGGGTGATTCCAGTTGACTCCAGGGTAAGTTGGGTCTGTGTGAGCCAGTGTTATGCTCAGCTCTAAAAATGGGGGTGTTAGAGGGCAGACCAGGCAGATCCTTCCCAAGGACTTCCTGTCCCAGTTCTATCTGAGTCAGGGCTGGCCTTCTCAGATCACCTGTGCATCCCAACTCCTGTTCTGGGCTGACCCTGAGGGACAGTGCACACTCACCATCCTGGGACATGGTGACATGTTTCCCTTTGTCTCAGACCCTCAGATAATAATGATGCCCTTCAGCCCTACAGATGCCCTGACATCAGTCTACCTGGCTTGAGTGGGAAGCCTTTTACCTAAGGCTATTAGCAACAGTTTTACATGCATCTTTCAAATCTTATTCCACCTGAATATTTCAGAGCCAATGGCCATGCTGGCTGTGAGGCCAGGAAAGCCCAGCTCCTCAGCAACTGAAGGCAGGGGGGATCCCTCGGTCACTTCTCTGTGAAGATCCCACAGAAACTCAGGCTGCAGGAGGTGGGGCCTTCAAATGCTCTTCCCAATGCTTCTTGGATGTTAGTTACCAGGACACCTCTATGGGCAGGTCTTCCATAGGTCATGGGTTGTGGGTACCATCCATCTTGCAGAGGTGGAAAAGATGCTGAAAATTTGCTGCAATGCTCATGTGAAACTTCTAGAAAAAAGAAATTCAGGACTATATGAACCGGTGAGTTTCTGCAGGGTTCATCCATTTTCATGATCCCTACATTTCAGGCAAAGAGCCCATAGTGGCCCCTTGTGACTGGGGAAGTCAGAATAGAGGTTTCTGCACTGTGTCCAGCCCCTTGCGGTCTCCCACAGCACCCAGTCCTGAAGGCTCCACAAGTCCCACGGGGTAGCCCTGCCGATCTCCAGAACTTGAGGGTCTGAGCAGCACCTCATTCTCCCATCCTCACATGGAGCCACTGGCTTGGCTGCGTGGAAATCTTTGGGGGTAGCCCTAGATCTCCTAGGGAACCACCTGGAAGGCCCAACTCCTGTCCACTGTCCCTCTGTCCTGGGGGGCAGCTTTGTGAGTGGAACCAAAGCCCTGCTCTCTTGACACTGGCACTGGAGAGGGACTTACCTGCAAAAAGTGCTCCTCTCCTCTTCCACTCACGGGGAGGGGAGGCAAGTTGAAGTGAGGGTCCCTGCAAAGGCTCATGGGAGACTTCTGAGATGACGTCTCTGGTCTTTCAGTAGAGGCCCCAGCTAAGGGGAGGTCTGACAAGCTCTCTGAAGCACTTCTCCGGTGCAGAGAGAGCAACCAGTAAGTTCTGGCAAAAATGGAGGAGTGATTTTCTCTGGTTTCTGGACCTCTCAGGAAGCGCAGTGGCAGGGGTGCTGTCCTGGGCCTTCTGTCGCCCCACCTCTGACTGCCTGACTCCCTCGCTCTGGTGTGGTGCTGTCTGGTTGGAGGCTTCTTCGGTTCCATGCCAAAAGTCTGCAGTCTGTGCAAGATCAAAGGGCCTAGGCAAGCACAACCGTGACAGGGTCTCTCAACCTATCTCAGACCTAAATGTGGAGGCTGAAAGCAATTGGGGCAGCCCCAAACCAAGCGTTTCCCCAGATCTCACATATTAGTAAGGGATGTTTAAAAATAATTTGAGGCGATTGAAAAATAATTTCAGAAATAGCTCTGTCAAGGAAGTCTTAACTGTTATTTCCCTGATGTCGGGATATCAGTACTGCTCATTTTCAGGTCCTTAGCTCTCAGGAAAAGCAACCTGAGGGGAGCTCACAGTTTCTTGTCAGAATGTCTGCCATCCCGAGCTGCTTCCCTGAGTCCCCAGCCAGAGAGGGCAGAAGGTGTCCTGGTTCACTCTAAGTGCAGACTCAGGGGAATGGAAGGGAAGGTCGAGGGGCATTTGGGTGGAGGACATTGGGACTTTCCTGAGGCCCTCACTGACAAATCTTAAACATTTTCATTTCTAATCTCTGCTCTCCATTGTTAGCTCAGGCCAAGTGCTGATGTGGAGTAGAAATCCAGGTAGCTAAGCTGTCTGCCTTCAACATCAATTCGTGCATGAAGTAGCAGCTGAGGTTGCCCGGGTTGAGGTTCTCACAGTCCCTGTCCCCTGAATAATCTGAAGTGGGCTCACCCCATCCCACTGTGTCTAGTGAGTGAGGCAGAGAGATGGGAATGGTGGGTGTGCCACGAATGTGGGCACAGGGACACACAGGGTGCCTTGCTGGACTTGTTTCCTTCTTCATCTTTCCCTTTTGGTGGGTGGTTGGCTCTGCTGTACCATGGACCTCTGGAAACCAAAGTGGCCATGCAAAGCAGCTGTGACACAGCCCCTACACTCCAGTGACCCAGTCTCATCAGAGAATGAAACCACGTGGGAGGGGGCATGAAAAAAACCAAGTCCTTTTGTCCACGGAGAAATGGGATATCATTGAGGGGAGTGGACCATATACTCAGGAAAATACAAGAGAAGTAAAAAGACCTTTCTCTGTGACCCTTCAGGGAATTCTTCTCTGGGAAAATGAGATTTGAGTGATGTCCTCAAAACCCGGTAGAATTTGGAAGAAGGAATGCGTGGTGAGATCAGTAGCATACCCAGGGGCCAAGTCTTCCAGGGCATATCGGAGATTGGGGTCCCTTCTAGGTGACACGTGGAGATGAGATGAGCCAAACTGAAGGGGTGTGCAGTCTTGAATCCCAATCTTCCATCCAACAGGAAGTTTGTTTGGGAGAATGAAATGGAATAAAAGTTGAGCCCAATGCTTTTACAAGGAGTGGGATTATATGTGACCTTCTGCCAGTCCTCATATATGATGCCTCAGGCAATGCTGATTATTGAGTGCTCAGTGGATGGTTGGGGTAAGAATAGTCTTCTCAGACAAGTCACCATTAGATATTAGACCCCAGGTAGCAGAAAAGTCCCAAACATGCTTAAGGCTTATGTTCTCTCACATTTGGAAGACTCAGAGATATCAATCCCATAAGAGATCACATCGTGTTTCTTAGTGTCTGGGATTTCCATTGTGTTTAGTGGCCACACATGCTTTCTATTTTCAGTCCTCACCAGATGATTCCAGGCAATGGAAAGGAGGAAGAACCAAGGAGTAGGGAAGAGCAAAGAGAACCATACATTCTTGGACAGTTCTTCCCTCTGCAAAGGGGGCTCGGTTGCTACACTTGACTGGAAAATAGATCAGTGAGTGATGTTACAACAGTCTTCAAACCTAAGGAAGCAGCTACCCTAGAAACATTCTATTTGTAATTTTTGGCTACCTTTTGACCTTCATGACTGTAGTTCTGGAGAGCCTGTGTGTAGGAACTCTAGGTGACAGTTTCTGATGAGCCTAACTTTTAGGTCATCTCCATTGAAATGCCTTGAAAGTGAACAAAACCATTTTGGCACCTGTAGGCCAGCCCATGCAGCAGCTTAATATCTCCAAGTGACCCCATGGAAGCAAAAACATGTTCTCCATTGGACTCTGTTTAAGGTTTACACACACACATACACACACACACACACACACACACACACACACACACACACCACTGTAAAACACTAATAATTATCATTTATAACCACTTAGTTTCATGGCAATTTGATGTATAGCCAGAGATAACCAGAACACAGTTTGGTAGCTGGAAGTGGGGTAACTACCATAATAAAGCCTAATGCATGGCCTCAGCTTTGGAAGGAGGCACGGAGCCAAATCTTGGAGAGCCCTGTGAAGACTGTTAATAAAAGCTGGAAGCACCTCAAAGAGACTGTTGATGAGAACTTGGAAAACAGTGAGGAAAATGTTAATAGAGACTGGACAGAAAGCTTGGCAGCACTGGTGTCTACAGTAACATGGAAAGTAGGAAGAATACCCAGTGAACTCATGGATCTGGCTGAGAAGACTACAGGCAAAGGAAGAAACATGCCATTGGCTTCTCTCAGCTGCCTGTGATAAAGTATGTGAAGAGACAGATGGAGTAAGGAAGGAATCTTAAGGTGCAGAGCAGAGCTCAGAGGAACTATAAAGTGGCCGGACCTCATTGGGTATCTCACAGTGAGAAATGGTTTTAGGACAAAGATGATTATCCAGGCATTATCTGTACAGCATGGCCTCAGACCAAGGTTGTGGCACTAGGACTTCTTTAAGATCTCAGAAAGATTTGAGAATATACCTAGTGGCTTGTAAATCTTAAAGACATGTGTCTTAGACTTCTGTAGTTAAGACAGTGGAGCTGTTAAGAATGTTAAGGGCTGAAACACAAACATGAAAGTTTTATAACTGTAGCTCACATTGATTCAGTAATAATAATAATAATAATAATAATAATAATAATAATAATAATAAAGAATGTTAAGGGCTTGGGGCCAGAGCGATAGTAAAGTACGTAAGGTGCTTCCTGGCATGAGGTCTACCTGGATTTGGTCCCTGAGATCCCATATGGTCCCCTGAGCCCTGCCAGGAGTGACTTCTGAGAGAAGAGCCAGGAATAAACCCTGAGCACCGAGGGGTCTGGCCACAAAACAAAACAAAACAAAACAAAACAAAACAAAACAAAACAAAACAAAAAGAATGTTAAGGGCTTTACCCACAGCAACTTTTTTTTAAATGAATGAGTTACAGTTACATACTTACAAATTTTGTGCTTATGTTTCAGTCATACAATGATCCAGTACCCATCCCTCCACCGGTGCACCCACAGCAACTTCTAAGAACAACCAGGTTAAACTTCCTGAGGGCAGGATTTGGCTCCAGGCTGGGCGCTGGTGATGTGTGCCTGGCAGGATTTACCAACTGCTTTGGACCAATCCCTGAGACAGCCTTCCTTTTCTCTCCTCTTCCCTTTTTTTTTTTCATATCAGGTGGGTAATGTGCCAAATGTATACCAAGATTCAAGGGAGGTACATGTCACACAAATGTGAACACCCAATCATCATGCTCATGACCCAGAAAAGGATCTTCTCCTCTTTCAGATGGAGAGTGTTCAATGAAATTTTCCTATCTCTTGTTGGTATAGGAAATATCTGGGACAAAATAATCAGTTTCGTTGATTATTATACTTTTTGTTAATTTATTTAACATCTTTTGCGATTTACCAAGAATCAGTGAGCCGTTGGTGACTTGATGACAGCATAATTGTTAGAAAAAAATGACATTTTAGTTAAAAACTTCTGCCACAACTCCAATTCTAGATTGCTTCAGCCGGACAGAGCCCCCAGGGCAGGGAAAGTTGAAGAGACTTTCAGCTCTAACCATTGCTCCTCCTGCTTTTCCTTACTCCTCTGCAGTCCCTGCAAACCTCATAAGAACCAGGCATTGAAGTGAGAACCAGGTCACAGGCAAGAAAGCTCTAAACCCCACTACAAGACATCATCTAGGGAATCCATGGTTTCTTCTGTGACTTGCGATCTGGGTTTCCCTATTCAGATGTCCCCTTTTGACTTGGAAAAAAAATCATTGCTCTTGTGTGTCCCAACTCTGTTACCATGGAAGCGGAGTGGGAAAGGGGCCCCAGGTAAACTGGTAAGTGCAATCAGTCATTTTAATTCTTGCCCACATGAGGGCTAGTAGTCAGATAAATCACAGAAATGGCCAAGGGACAGGAATAATGACATTTGCAAGGCTAGCCCAGATCAGTCATTTCCTCTTGGACCCTATGCTTATGCCCAGGTGGCTGGCAGTGCCCTGGCAGATGTCAGAAAAAGCAGCAGTTCTCACCCATGAGCATGTTGCCTGAGAACAAAGAGCAACGAGCCCCAGGAAACAGAGACTGACCACAAAGCAGATGCAAGAGACCAGCAGGGCACTGAGGGCATCAAGGCATGAAAGGACAGAGCCAGCGAGAAGCCAGCACGGAGCCTGGATAAAGGACATTGGGAGACCGAAAACTTCTTTCAAAAGCTGTCAATTGTCGACTGCAACTTCATAAATATCAAGCGTATTTTCTAATATTTTTATTGGAATTCTGTGATTGACAGTGCTGTTAATAATGGTTTCTCATTTATGTAATTCCAATTCCATACCCACCACCAGTGTACCCTGTCGGAAGCCAAGAGCCCTCTCATAGACCCTGGCCATGGTTCCCATGTTTAGGAACTGCTTGGGACAGACATTGGTGACAGTCTCCCAGGACTTCTTGATCTCAGCGGATACCTGATCTATAGCCACATAACATCAGGCTGACAGTTATCTTATCTGGGCTTATCTATAGTAACCTCCAGGATGCATCTACTGCCCTAAGACCCTTTGATATGCAAATGTAAAGCTCAGGATGCATCTACTGCCCTAAGACCCTTTGATATACAAATGTAAAGCTCTGGATGCACCTACTGCCATAAGACCCTTTGATGTACAAATGTCTACCTTGAATGTTAGGTAAAGCTCTTGTTGCTGACCTTACCATATATGGTTATATTACTTCTGCTCCTGACTGAGCTGCCCTGATCCTATATAAACAGCCTGTGTCCCTCAATAAAGCCTGTCCCTTTTTCTCTCTTTCTAAACTGTACTCTGTCTCTTGTGTCTTGTGTTCTTTCGGTTGGTCCTTCCTTGCACCTACGGATCCTAGGGCCACCTCCGCAGGCCGGAGAGTGGTTTTGCGGGCCCTCTACAGTACCCACCTCCCTCCCTTAAGGATCCTAGTGTCTCTTCCTTTCAAACACACTGTACCTCCAAACATCCCCCAGTTCTGCTGGTATGTTGCCTTTGGATTTTTGTTGCTACCTTGTTTTGTATCTTTTTGTAGTTGGATCAAGAACTTGTGGTATATATACACAATGGAATATTATACAGCTCTAAGAAAGAGATATAGAGAGAAACATTGGGGGTTTTATGTGCTGATTCTACATGCAGTAACTCAAGGGCCCAATCAGGAATTAGCCCACCTGTCATGGGGATATCCCCCTGACCAAATCACCATTGTTTGTAGGATGTGTGTGTTGAAGGAGGTGGAGGTGGGGTGCGTAAATGAACATGGGAATCTCTCTCTATTTAAGAGGTCTTCCGAACAAGAGGACCAAACAGACCTCAATATGCTTTAGGCAATGAGAAGCTGGTCATGAGCCTGAACACTTTGGGGAGGGGAATTTGGGGAGAGTCTTTGGATATTGTGGAACACATATGAGTGATTGGTGCCTGAGGGTTCTCTGTGGTGGATTAAATATGGCAGCAGTTCTTTGAGGCTCACCCATTGCATTCTGGGTACGGATCACAAACCATAGGCAGTGCTGTGATCTAGCTGGTGTCAGCTGGTTTTGAGAATTTTCCACTAGATGTGACTTTATAGTCCCTTTTAACTGCCAATGAAGAAAAAAAAAACATTGTAGTTTTACCCCCTACTCCCACCCTCCCACCCTGGGACCTACAAATAATCTGTCAGCTCTTCAGATTCAGAAAATTCAGGGGGTGCTCTGAGGGATGATAAATCTACAATCTTGTTTTGTAGGAATTGGGGTGTTGTGTGGGAGGTGGGAGAGAGCAACCAAATAGCATGCAGACCTGACCCCTGACCCTACGCTCAGCCCCAGCTCTCCCTGGGGGCTTTGGAGCATCCCTCTTGGTGGGAAAGGTGACACAGGCTTGTGTGCTTTGCTGTGACCCCTGTGGAAGGCTGCAGGCAGAAGGACCCCAGGAGCGAGAGAGAGCACGGGTGCGTGTAGCTCCTGAGACAAGGCTGTGAAAACCACTTCAGAAGAAGTGAATTTCCAGGTCCCACTGAGTTTGTTCCCAAGACCTTTGCCATGGAAGTCTCTTGTCCATGGGAAGAGGAAGCACATTATGCCGGTAACCCCAGGGATGTCCCCCCACCCCCACACACATTGCAAACATCTTCCTGCTCTAGAATCTCTCAATATATTTCTTTCTTATAGCTTTGAGACTGCATCCAATTTATACATCTCAGCTCTTCCAATAGCACATTTACCTCCGTCCCCCAAGCAACGGTTTTGAAATGATGATTCCTCCAAACCTCTGGGATTAAGATGGAAGCTCATGTGAATTCCACACGACACAGGTTGGACACAGGCAGCGCAGGACAGAGCTCAAAGGCTTCTTGGCCTCCTTTCCCACATTCCCTTTTCCTGCTCTCCAGCTGCCAGGATCTTCGTTTTTGTTTTTCTAGTTCTTCCTCTGAGTAACTGAACCAAATGGATTCGATGGCGCACCATCATAATTGCCTGAAGTTAAACAATAATGAAGTTTTACTGCACTTCTGCAGTTTTGTTCTTATAAAAAGACAGCTAAGTGAAGTGTGCCAATTTAAGAACCTGGAAGCAAGGTTCCTTTGGGGACAAAAGCTGGAGCTGTCAAATACCCAGATGCAGCAAGAGCTGCGCTCCTCATTGTCGGAACGACAGCCAGCAAGAGGCAACAAAGGCAAGTTCAGCAGGAAAGAACGTGGGGGCGGAGAGTGCTCCCCAGTGGGAAGGTGTTTGGGGGGGGTGCACAGAATTGGCACAGGAGTCCAGTCTTCATTTTCTCTTCAGAATTTTTTCCTTCATGAGCAAGTGCCCTGCTGTTGTTATGTCAGAATTTTCCAAACCATGTTCCAGGTAGACTCAATCGACTGGTGTTTGGGAGACAGTGCTTGAAAGCAAACATTAGGGGCAGACCTCAGCACTCAGGCATGTGTGCATATATGTGTGTGTGTGTGTGTGTGTGTGTGTGTGTGTGTGTGTGTGCGCACGCACTTGTGCTGGGACTAAAGTGCTAAGGCTTGGGACCATGGGGTGCTGAGGATGGAGTCTGGGGCTCCAGCATTGGGAGCATTCACTCCAGCCTTTCAAATCTACCAGGCCCCTTCAAAGCTCATATGTTTTTAGACCAAATTTACCTTGGCCTTGTTATAGAGGGACCCCAGGTTTCTGATCGAGCCTCTCTGCTTCCTGGGCATTGCTTCTCTATGCCCTCCTTTGCCCCTTGGCCCGTGCCTTGACAAAGACCCTAGTGGGGCCAGCACCTTGCCCATGGCATGTCAGCGCACATGGCTACTGGGCTGCCTCAGTGAGCCTTGCTGTCCCCACAAGCACACAGGGACAGCTAGCGTGTGGGCCTGCAGTTTGGGCCCTGGTGTAGATCTGGTTTCAGGAAGCAACGTGGACTCGGCCCTAATTGCAGGGGTGGGAGCACAAAAGCACCACAGGCCTGTCCTGTGCCAACAAAAAGGCAGCAGTGGCTCCTCTAGGTTTCATTTCAAAGACTGAAAAACCCTCTCATTTCCCCTAAATGCTGCCTTCACAGAAGGAAAGCGGAGACTTCTATTTATCTCTGCCCGCTGCTTTCTGCACCCCACCTGCTTCTGAGGTGGTCTAATGGGCAAATGACTCGTGTTCTGCTAATCAGTTCCAGGATCTGGGACAGGAAAGTGAAGGCTGCCAGCCACCGCAGGGGCTGACGCACCATCATTGCTGCCGCCTCCTTGTCCTCCTGGGCCTTGAACAGGGCCTGCTCTCTGCCTTACCTTAGGCCCAACGCTCTGATCTGGGTCCAACTGGGACATACTGGAATAAGAATTCCAAGAATAACTGTCCCCTGTCCCCCCGCCCCTTGCCCAGACCTCTCCAATTGGCCATCTGGGACTGGTTTGGGGTGGGGAGTGGGCAATGTACCTAGTGTCCTGTAGCCCGGCCATGCCCATCAGCTCCTATGTGAGTCAGATGAGTCAACTCTGGGGATCAAACTCAGATGCCTGGGGCCACTATCAGAGATGTCCGGCTGATCAGGCAAGGACAAGATCCAAATGGTCTCTGAGTGCTGGGGACCACCAGGGTCCTTCAGCAGTGCTCAGGAAGCCTCTTGAATAACATCCTGCGATACTCCGTGTCCTGGCAGGGCATGTGGTACCAGGATCAAAATGGCGACTGGAACATGCCCTGTAAATCCTGGACTATCTCCACAGCCTGGAACTGGCTTTTTCAAGGAGTACTTTATTACAGTTAGAAAAAAGTGAAATTCTTGTTCT